CCCCCAAGGACTCCACAGTTCAACCCGGAGCTACACATATTCACCTCTATTGGTACCTGGAACGTTCTTAAGACGTGAACAAAGAAATGATGGCTGTCTTAAGTATGGTATATGAGCAGTGTTTGGCCTGGTACAGCAAAGCGCTTTTTAAAATCTGGTGTAATCAAAGTAACCTTTAGAAAAGATGGAGAACATATAATGAGCATAGGACCTGCCAAATATTTTATTGTAAAACATATCTGTATTTCCCCCCCCAGCTTTTCTCACAATGCATTTAAAAAGTGCTCCTGCTGATTCTTGGATTGGATTGAATGATAAGAATTGGGAGAATCGTTTCCTCTGGACTGATGGAAGTGGGGTCTATTTTACAAACTGGGCTAAAGGGTCACCTCATATAAGCAACGTAAGTCCAACTTGTTTGAGTTTTTTCTTTTCTATTTCCCCGCAAAGGTATAATTCCTTGATGCTGAATTCTTGCAATGAAACAGAATATATATGGAAAAGAGTAACTTTTTTATGAGATGGGCGCCATATAAATTTGATGAATGAATGAATGAATGAATGAATGAATGAATGAATGAATGAATAAATAGGATTTTAGAACAAGCATTAGAACTGTGAAGTGATTACAAAGAGTCCTTATTGGGGAAAATGTAATTTGAAACCAACTGAGTTCAGAATTGGATCTAAGCATCAAAACACACTAATAAAGCTAAGTGGTTAGAATTGCAAAGTTGCTCTCAAAAATCTCTTGGAGATTTTTCTTCTCTTTTTTTATTTTGCCAATGGGATAAGAATTTCACTAGAAGAATTGATCAAGTTTCAGATTTAACTCCCTCCTTCCCAATTGTCTTGCATCTGTATACACTACATTGTCTTTACCACAAGTGTTTAGCTTGCAGCTTACCAGCACCCTATCTGAAAACTTCCGTAGTATTTTAAGAGCAAAATGCATACCTTAAGATATAAAATAATAGGCCTTCAGACCTACCCTTTATGGCACTGTTTCTCAATCTTGGTAACTTTAAGACGTGTGGACTTCAGCTCCCAGAATTCTCCAGCCAGCAACTTAAAGTTACCAAGATTGAGAAACACTGTTTTATGGTGCTATTTCAGAGCTTTTCTGTTCGTTGAAAGGTAAGAAAAGTCTGATGTGCTTTCTCCTCATCAACAGAGGGCGCTATTAGATTAAAAAAAAATCTCAATGTTATTCCTCCCTCTACTGAAGAAGGAAAAAAAATGTCATGCAGATTATTTTTTGGAGAATGTTGCTATTATCAACACTCCCTTAAGGACCCCCCCCCCAGTAAAATGAAATTTAAAATAAAAACGTATATACAACTAAAAATTAAAAATATCTAAAATTAAAATAAGTATGGGGGAAAAATGGCCCTGCCCAAGTTTGGAATGCACGATACATAAAGCTTGCTATAGCTTTCAAATTCACATAAGTTATTTGTTCCTCATTGTTGCTTACCTTTGACCCATGCATAGGCTGTGCCCAGCATCCAAAAGTGGCATGAGCAAAGAACTCCTTTTCCATCTTGTTGCCTAGAAGGCTCAGTGTGAGGTCTTTGAAGACATCTTTGAAAGCTTTTCCAGTTTGTCTTCCTGTCCATGTATGTGCAGCTAACACTTCTGCTGGGATTGCCATAGTGGCTCTGAATGCACATACAGACTCCATATAGCCTCACTGAGACTTTTGGGAAGAGATGGATATCTAAATGGCTACCTTGCCCATGACTATGTACTCTGCACAACCTTAGTATGTGATCTGTTAATATTCATGAAGTACCCTGACTATAAAGATTCCTTGAAGATTGTTTGTTTCAGGTTGTTTTCAGAATCCATTGACTTCTTGTATCCCTTCCTATGCCATAGCCAGTGGCAGCATCTTCCTTTGAAGAAGAGATTTCATCCAATGATGGAGGCTCAGTATGCTTCTATGGAGGCTTTTATGCTACCCTCTATAGGACATAATGACCAATGACAGATACTCCTATGTGGGTCATCTTATATAGTAACCAGAAACAGAAAAACACATTTCTTTTGAGACAATAAAGGAAGAGTTCCAGAAAGATTGCTCCAGTTATGATACCAATGACTCTACTTGGCTTTCTTGCTATACTTAAACACTGTAGGGTGACTGCGTTTTTATGATGAGGAAGCCTGAAAAGCTTGCAGGATATTGGAGAGATGAACGCTGTTTTGTTGAGAAAAGCTTTATCTGCCAAAAAAACACTGGTAAGTTTTTAGAAATCTTGGAGAATAATTCAATTTCAGAGAATAAGACATGTAATTCAGATTGTCTTCTACAGCTCAATATCAGTTTTCTAGGCCAAAGAGAAAACGACATTGTCACCTTAAAGTATACTAATGGGTACAAAACAGTTGTATAAAAAACATGGCAGCAAATATAACTGCTTTAAGAATGGAAAAGTCCTCTTTTTCTGCTGAAAGAAAACAAGGCCTTTCTAGCAGCCATCTCCAATCTCCATCTATTTATCTACTGGGGGCCCAACATAAATCTTTATGAAGCTAGGTAGGCAATTGATCAAAATTGCATATACTCCCCAGCTTTACTTTCTACAAGGCAAAGAGCTAGTGGCAAGGTCTTGAGGAGGAGACCTGGAACTGTGAGTATTGCTGCCGTTTAATGACTGATAGGCAAAAAATCTGTTCCATCTCCTCATCTTTGCCACCACCAAGAGAAATACACCAGCTTTTGAAACTAACCAGTCAACCTGCAAGTAGGATGGTTTTACAGCATGCAGGGCAGAAATAATATGAAAGAGGCTTGGTATGAAGAAACCTGGAGGGAGAGGAATTGGTAGAAAAGTATATCCCTAGGAAAACATCCCAGGAGAAGCAATATGAAATGTCCCAGTATTGAAAGTATGCAGGAATAGGCAAGTCATTAAGGGGGGAAAGGGAAAGAGGAAAAAACAGCACTGGGACACAAACATTTAGAATGTTTCTTCCCTGATCAGGGGTGTCTGCAAAGTATGGTCAAAAAAGTCAAGATGATCAAAGCACCACCTGTTCTTTATACACATCACATTAAAAATCCCATACCCCTTTATGAGATTGATGGGGTGCCAGGCTTTCCATTGCCAAGAGGAAACAATAGTATGGAATGAACTATTATTAGTTAGTGTTGTTGAACTGAGATTGTAAGTTTCAGAAAGAGGGTTAAGAAAAACTTGTGTGAATAAACAGATTTGGGCCAATTAAGTCTGTGACAAGCCAGATATGTTAACCAAGAAACTGTCTAAACACCAAATATCTGAAGTTCAAAATAAAGGCTTTTGGTAGTATTGAGTCACTTATTTGGCCAAAAGGCCAAATGTATTCTCCAAAGAGAGGTTCTATCCTGCTATCGTATTAGAGATTTAGTGAAGCAAGAAGTCAATCAGATTGTTTTTGAAACCAATAGCTAGACTGAAATTTCATATAGCACTAATATTTGAGTTTATATTTTTACTGACATTTGATGGATGTCTCATGAATTCACATATTTGGGGCTACCAAATATATACATTTAATATTATACCTCAAAAGGGTCTCCTTAAAGTGGCTCACTGTACTTTATATTTTATTTGTTCAATGTGTTCTTGATTTTTTTATATCAAGCTTGATCATGGCATGGAACTGGGAGAATATTCTAAGAAAAAATAGGAATTAAATATTAAGGGTCATTTTTAGGACTGTGTGCAATCTTGACTGACATATACTTTTACTTTCTTTTAATAGGTCCATTACCTTACTCTGAAACAACTGTTCCAGCTTCTGGCTATATCACTTATGGGAATAGCAGCTATTCTATTATTAGTCCCAAAATGACATGGGAAGAAGCAAGGAAGAAATGTGAGTCCGAACATTCAAAACTTGCCAGCATTGTAGATCCCTACACAGAATCATTCATATGGCTACAAGTGCTCAAATATAAGGAGCCTGTATGGACTGGACTAAGCAGCAAAGTGGTAAGGACATAATCTATATTCACAATGAAGTCCTATATTCACAATGGCATAGTTAGAAAATATCATCACATAGATGATGAATGCAAGAACAGGACTTTGTAAGAAAGCAGAATGAGTACAGGTAGTCCTTGTTTAGCGACCACAACTGGGACCAGCAACTTGGTCATTAAGCGAAGCGGTTGCTAAGTGAAACCACGACTGTGTTTACGATCTTACTTCAGCTTACCTTTGCTTTACAGACCTGTGAGGTCATAAATGCATAGATCGGTCGTAAAATTACTTTTTCATCACTGTTATAACTGTGAATGGTCACTAAAAAAGGCAGTCATGAAATGAAGACTACCTTGTCTGGATATTACACATATGTGACAATTTTCCAAATGGACCTTAAAGACTAAATGCTTTCATAGAATTTCTAACAGTTAATGAGGAGAACACGAGATCTAACTGGGAATGAAAAAGGGGTACAGGTAGTTCTCGCTTAATGACAATTCATTCAGCGACTGTTTGAAGATATGATGGTGCTGAATGAATGGTAGTTACAGCTGTTCCTTGAAGTTCTGGCCGTTGCAGTGTCCCTGCAATCAAAATTTGGGCACTTGGCAGCCTACCCACATTTAGGACCACAGTGTGCACTTCAACTCCCCACACCCATCTATCTCCCACCCCTGCCCTTTTGGCTGCCCTGCACTCCACCACCCCCGCTGCCTACCCTGCTACTGCCCCCAGGAGACCTTTGCTGTCTTCTTCCTCTTGCTGATGATGAGGCAAACCTGGCCGCAACACTGTGTGAGGCCTCCATGATGACCTCACGAAGGGTCAGCAGGTGTCTCGGCCGGGCATGCCTCATCAGCAACAGGAGGAAGAAGACAGCAAAGGTCAGTTGGGGCTGGCGGGGGGGGGGTCAGGCAGGGATAGGCAGCGGCAGTGGTGGACTGCAGGGTGGCCAAAAGGGCAGAGATGGAAGGAGAGAGGTGGGTGGGGGGAATTGAAGCAGAGGCGAGTGCGGCAGGGTAGAAGAAATATGAGATCGTTGCCTAATGATGGTGCAGTCCTCACCTAATGACTGCAACTGGGACTACTGGAACTGCTGCTGCTAAGTGGTGTGGTCACATGATGTTTTGCCTGATGACTGCCTCACTTAGCAATGGAAAGTCCAGTCCCAATTAGGGTCATTAAGCGAGGACTGCCTGTAGTGGAATTAAAGGAATAAAACTTTTTCTTGCATTTCCTGTAATTATTCTCTTATGCATTTTGCTTTTAGAGTGATGCTGTGTACAAGTGGGTAAGTAATTGGAGACTAGTGTACACTAACTGGGCTGCTGAAGAACCGAAGCATAAAATAGCCTGTGTCTACTTAGACATTGATGGTTATTGGAAAACGGGAAATTGCAGTGAAAAGTACTTCTCTGTTTGCGAGAAATATTATGGTAAGCAAAATAATATGTCTATTTTAATAGAGTTTGCATTTTAATTTTAATTTCAGTTAGTCCCTCATTACTTAAAAGTGGCAAACTACATCAACAAAATATATAAGCTAAATTTTTAAAAACAATAATATTTAATAAGTTTCAAACAGAAAACGACAAATTATTTAGTTTATATCTTACTATATTATTGCATTGTAGTTATTGCTTATACTGCTTATGATTATTACTATTATTAATTTTTTTAGTGGCTAGTTGCTAATGTATCTGTTTTTTTAAATAAAGAAACCTATTTGTTTCATAACAGGTATAGTGCCAACTGAGATTCCACAATTGCCAGGAAGATGCCCACCTTCCAAAGATAGCCAATCATCCTGGATTCCTTTTAGGGGTCATTGCTATAAATTTTACCCTTTAAGGAAATCTTGGCCTCAAGCATCCCTGACATGTGCTCAATTAGGTTAGTATCATTTTGAGCCACATAATAATAACCATTAATTTTCTGTGCTCAGGAAAATCTTGCTAGTGTCTACATTTACAGTACTTTGGAATAAACAAATCTGTGTCAAATTCAGCCAGCAATCCTAACTTTTAACATATTATATTCTACCCTACAAAGTTGTTGAAAGAACAGAATGAGAATGTAGGAAGGTGCCATATAGAATGTGTATAACATAAAGAGAAATAAACACCTTTATATTTTTCATGTTCACTATAAATAAATACTAAAAGGAAGGTTTCAACTGAGTGACATAGTTCATCACACAGAAACTTACTTTCATTTTCATGATACAAGGCTAGAATGGGAGGAGCATTCATCACCGGATCCATTCCTTGAAGTCACACAGCAGCTGTAGTTATTTGAGATTTGGTATGGTTGATTAAGGCCCCTCTGAAGTCTTATGGATATGTGTGGACATGCCTCGAAGACATTTGCACATGATAGCTCAGAAAGCAAAGTGGCAGTGGCTTATCTTACTAGCTGACCTGGTAGAAATATCTTCTGGGCATGTTCACATACACCCAGTTCAACTCAAGAGGACCTTGATACAGCTGTGCTGAGCCTTCAAGCATCTTCTGATCAGCTTCAGGGAGTGAATCCAGAGAGATGCTTTTCAGAGTGTGCCTGGGTATCCTATTTTTCATTTATTATTTGCCATCACCTTCTTCTGTTTCCATAGCTAATGACACATGCACCTACCAAATTGCATAAGAATGAATTCATTTTAATATCTTCTTTCTTATAGGAGATAGCATAGGAGATAGCATTTATGATACTGGAAAGCAATAATTCTTTCCTTTGGAAGCTTTTTTTTTTAAAAGAAAAAACACCTTATAAATATAGAATATTTTAAAATATAAGCTACTTTGGAAGACTTGATAATTTGATCTGTCCTTTAGATTCTTTTGGGTGGGACCTCTCAAATACTGTGGAGAATTTGGAAGAGAAGCAGTTTGTCTTTCCATATATTGTGCAAAATACTATTTTTGCAGAATGTTTGCTTAAATTACCAAATTTAACTTTTTGTATCATTATACTCAAAGAATAAGCTGCAATTGTGTTTCACCATAAACATATTAAGCAATACAAATCTAATACTTGTTTGAAACAGAAGGCAATATGCTTCTTTAAGGCATTCAAACCTGAAATTGTTGCTTGCGCTGGGCAGTGAATCATTGGTCTTGCCTTGTGAAGTGACCCCCATTTTTGGGGAAGAACCTTTTAATGAGCTTCTTCAACTCATCTCATGTTTCATAGGTGGCACCTTGACTTCGATTGAAGATTCAGCTGAATTACATTTTTTAAAGGAACGAATGGAACTTCTTGAATCTACAGAGTTTTGGATAGGATTGTACCACAATGTGGATGGTAATTATTTAACCAATATTTATCTATACAGCTGTATGCCTAATAATAATAATAATAATAATAATAATAATAATAATCCCTTTCCATTTCTCTCAAAACAAAGTAAATTGGTAATGCAGATTTTCCCCAGATCTTTTAAAGAGATACGGTAAACACTCTTATCTATTTGTCTTCATAATTTTTCCTCATATACAAAGACTTTCTTTGTCACATCTACATAATGTAGATGTTAACATACATTCAAATAATAATGATACAAATAAAATAATACAGATTTTCTGATGTTATGTAAAGTTGCTTAATGCAGCTATTTAAAATATAAAATAAATATGTCAGATTTTTGTGAATGAATTATAAAAAATTTAATGTAAAACAGTTTCATAAATAAGAAAAGAACTGAGTTTTAAAAGGACTACATGAAGAACTTTTTACAAAATAACTTTCTAGAAGAAATTTCAGATATGAGAAATGTGTAATACATGTATTAAGAAAAGGAAAAAAATTAACAATAATTAGAAAAGGCTCCTGTAAGGGAACTTTTTGGTAATCAATGGCTTTGACCATGAGCTTTGTGAGTTCAAAAATTGCACCTGGAAGTCAGGTGGCTTTTAAACTGTGTGGTGCTGTGACTTCCTAAAATTATAAATCAATTTAAAACCTACCAATATATTGCTTTCTACACAAGAAATCACCAGTTAGTATAGCCCAAATAAAGTGTGTGGGCGGGGGGGGGGTAAATGTGTCACGATGTCTCAATACAAACTCCATGTGGAGTTTGTACATGCATCATAATGTCACTCATAAGTATTATGGGTGGAGCTTATATCATTATATCACAATGATATAACATCACATTCCCCTAATCATGGCTTGCACCCTGCTATTAAATTTAAGACCCTACCAAAAAGAAAGGTTTGATTTGCATGGGGAAACAGACAAAAATATTGTGAATATTTATTTTCCATGCTTTGTCAACCAAGGGCAGCTTAAATCAATCCTGCAGATTTCCTTCTTTTTATTAACTGTGAGTGCAAGTATAGAGAAGCACAAAGATGGCCTTGGAAAAGATAGTGGTGACCGTTAACAAAACATGAGTTTTGGAAAAACAAAAAAGCATGAGAAAGAAACTAAGGTTTGACCCGTCCTGACTTTTTTTGGTGTAAGAAAGTAGGAAGAGGAAACAATTATAATTGTCTATATCAATAAAGCAAAGTTCTAATATTTATGGTGTCTGTTTCCTGACCTGCCTTACCTTGAAGGGCTGAAAGTAAGCAACACACTCATAGAATCTACATTCCAAAAACAAGCAAGACCAAGACTGCACACACACAGCTCTACCAGCCCTGTGGCTCAAATAACAAAATGGAAAGTTTTGTTATTTGTTATTTGAGGGGCAATTGGTCGGGCTGTCTATCAGGGAGAGCAGTGTCAGAACAGGAATAAAATAGCAAATATAGAAAAAGAGGGCTAAGACACCAGGCTAGAAACTGGGAGACCATGAGTTCTAGTCCCACCTTAGGCACGAAGCCAGCTCTATCTCTCAGGCCTAGGAAGGAGGCAATGGCAAAACACTTCTGAAAAACCTTGCTAAAAAACTGCAGGGACTTGTCCAGGCAGTCGCCAGGAGTCAAGACTGATTCGAAGGCACACATCCACCCACCCCCAAAAATGGAAAAAATGCTACATACTGTAGCTACAACACTGCATAATATTTTCATGAATACCATGTTGGGAGGTATGATGATGGTGATAATCGTAACATTGATTAAAATAATATGAAATTATTACTAACTAATGAGGATACAATGAAGATGACAGAGAAAACAGAAAATACAAATTAATTTACTCATTCTCTTTGAGATGCATAAACTTTCTTCATGGAAACCCTGACCTACAGAGGAAGTTTTCATGAGCAGAAAAACATTAGGATTCTGCTTACATTATTAGTGAATTCAGCAATCTGGTACAATAAAGGGGATTGCTTGTATTTTGTTTTTTAATCAGATGAAAAAAACACCTAATAAAGATGTTAATCCAATAGAAGAGAATATATGTAGCTCAGGGTTGAACTATGGAGTCCTCGGTGCTCTCTGAACTTGGTTGTTTGCTTGCAGATATTTCATTACCCAACTAGGTAACATCATCAGTGTGAGTGTTTATACGTTTTTCTTAATCATTATGCCATACATTTGTTTTGTCATTAGGAGAATGGATATGGCAAGATAAAAGTAAAGTAGCTTTTGTCAACTGGAATGAAGAACAGTTCTCAAATGATCACAGAGAATATAGTAGTGAAGAGAGCAATGAGCACCTTCTTGACCGCTGCTTTTTCATGAACAGTATTTCTGGAGAATGGTTCAAGGCATCCTGTGGAAATTATCCACCGAGAGGATTTATTTGTAAAAGAAACAAAAGTAAGCCTTATTACTATTATCAACATAATGTTAGATTGAAAGTAATAACTGTGTGCTGAATAGACATTAAATTATGCAGTATCCTAAAATTGGTCCCTCTATTTTCTGCCTAGATGGGTATTCCTTGGAATTTTTCTTACCATGTCATTATCTGCTCACTTTTTAAATATATCCAAGGATATTTGAAGTTTTCCTGTGTTTCTAATTTCTTGATGGAGAGGTTTTTCTACTTACATACTTTAAAAGACTTCATCTTGACCTATCCTTATTGCCTTTTGTTGTTGTTCTCAGTGTTCTTATGACAGTCTTTCTAGACTGTTAATCATAATTTATCTGCTGTAAAGCACAAGTCATCTTTCTTTCTCCCC